CTGCCACGGCCTCGCGGTGGCAGGCGCAGCAGAGCTCCGGCACCCAGTCCATCCGCTCCGCGGAGGGTGCGCCGGGGCCGCTCCAGACGACCTGTCACAGCGGGTGGGGGGAACGGACAGACAGACCACGTGCAAGCCATAGTTCAGCGTCTGATGCCCCAGGGCACCGGGGGGAAAACTGCCCCACGCCCGAGCGGACAAGATGATATGTGTAAAAAATGGCTGCGTGACGCTTTTGATGCACGCCTACCAACGGCTTCGCTGGCGGACGCCTTGCATGCACGATCTGGGGACCTTCTCACAGCAGTCGCTCCTGTCATGTGTCGACGCTGCGTCGACGCTGCATCTAAAGTCCGTCGACGCTACATCGAGCCCAAATCGGCGACGTCCCGCGCGGCCATGAGGATAAGTTGACGGTTCAACGTAAGGACGGTTAAAGGATATTCAGAGTCATGGGCAGGCTCTTAAGCCAAATTGGGCGATTAAGCTGGAGACTGAGCCGGATGAAGAAGGATTAAGCCGGACGAAGCGGGATTACGCGAATTGCACGGGCTGGTGCCATATTCGCGGATACATGGGATTCGACCGCGGATATACCAGCGCCGATGTATGATGACCAGGGGATTGAGGAGGAGAGTGAGGAGGACACAGGCCTCCAACGCGTTGACAACTCAAGTGTTTCGCCGCTTCTGGCCTCCAGGGGTCCTCGCCCGCCTCTGTGGAGGACTGTCAAACAAGATTGGGTATGACAAGCCGACCCAGGGGAGAGGATGATCAATCGGGGAGCCCAAAAATATAAACGAAAAGATGCTGTTTGGAACCCATCATCATGTTATGGTTGAAAACACACCAGGCGTTCGGGCAAAAACGAGGGAGTAACACGCTGACGGGCTACCAACGACAGCGTGTCACTTCTACGCTTTCTCCTTCCCGGTTGACCAGGAGAGCGGAGAGGAGCAGGCGGAGGAGGACACAGACCTCCAACGTGTTGGAACCCATGCGGAGATTCTTCGCCATGTCAGGTCTCCTGGGGGTGTCCTCGCCAGGCCCCAGGATTAGGTGGGGCATGTCCCCCTACAGGAGGACTCGGGAAGAACAATATAAAACATAATCCAAACATGTGCAACAATAGTCCAAAAATAATAAAAGAATCGTCCCCAAAATATGTTTTGACTAGTTTTGAATACTCCTCCTGCAGAGCACTGCCAAACAGCAGAATGAATATCCTGGCGAAGAACCCAACCATCTGCAGTTGTGGATACCACAACATGGGGCCACGAAGCGCGTGACGCATGCGGGCGATAGCTTTGGGGCCGCCGGCGGAGCTCCCTATGGGGCCACGAAGCGCTGTACTGGGCGTGGCGGACGCATGCGGGCACCCCCACTGGGGCCTTCGTTGGAGCTGCCTATGGGGCCACGAAGCGCTGTACTGGGCGTGGCTGACGCATGCGGGCACCCCCACTGGAGCCTTCGGTGGAGCTCCCTATGGGGCCACGAAACGCTGCACCGGGTGGGGGAACCGCATGCGGGCACCCCCACTGGAGCCTTCGGTAAAGCTCTCTGTAGGGCCACGAAACGCTTTACTGTGTGGGGGGGGACCGCATGCGGGCCTTTGGTGGAGCTCCCTCTGGGCCCACGACACGTGTGAGAGGGTGCGCCAAAGTGAGGGGGGTGACTGGAGGAGGGAGGAGGGGGAGGAGGAGGAGGAGGAGGAGGAGGAGGAGGAGGAGGAGGAGAAGATGAGGAGAGGAACGCGGGGACCGTCTCTTCAAAACGAGGACCCAACACCACAAAATGGTCGGGGAAAAAATCCGGGACGAAGAGCTGACACCCCCGCGGGAGAGGGAGCGGCGCAGCGCGGGGAGCCACCGCTCCGCACAAAAGCGGCCCTCAAAATCCTCGCGGACAGTACGGTGAGGGCCCGACCACAAGAAATCTTCAACGAGAAGCCCAACCCTGAGACCCCGGGGCGTTCATTGATCTTGGGTATGGAGGAGGAGGAGGAGGTGGTGGAGGAGGGGAGCGGGGTGGGCAAGCCCCGTCGGAAGGTTGGTCGCCCACCTCTCGATGAATATCCCACCCAGAATAGGCACTTTGCGGGTACAGTGGGGGCCCGACCATAAGAAACCTTCTACAACAAACCCAACCCTGAGACCCCAGGACGACCATTGAGTGTTGGTGTGGGAACGTCACGCTCTCGACAGCAAGCGTCGCGCTTTACATGGCAAAACCATCGAAGCCCAAGAAACCCAGGGCACCCTGAAGGCAAAAAGGGTGTTTCTTGGTATGGGTCTCAACTGCAGATCAGAATATGGCCGGTTTCCGAAACCAGGAGGCAAAAAACAACAACACTTCTCGGGAGGCCGATGTTTACTTCCGCCGGCTTCCGCCGGCCTTCCGACCTTCCGCCGGCGGATCCGCCTCCATTTTATACGCCACGACTACATATATATATATATATATATACATATATATATATATATATATGTGTGTGTATGTCTGTAGGTGTATATGTGGTGGCTCCCGTATATCGGTTCATGTATATATATATATATGAATGAATGAATGAATAAAGGGAAAAGTCAGTGGCTCCCAGGTGGTGATCTAAAATCACCGCTACTCTTCCCTGAGGCCCAGGAAAAATCCATTGGAGGGTGTCTGTGTATTTAGAAACCTTTCTATGTAAAAAGGTGGTCAATGTTTACTTCCGCCGACCTCCGCAGGCCCTCCGCCGGCCTTCCGCAGGGGAGCAGCTGCCAACCCCTGCGGCTCTCGAACGCGAGGCCCTCCCTGAGACGCCTCATCCCAACTGCCCCGACACGCAACACGCAGCACGTAGCGCATTGACGCGAAGCCCAACACGCAAGCTGAAAACGTCTGGCACGACAAGTTCTCCAAAACGCAGACCGACGCATGCCGAGAGCCAACACGCAGAGTGTGAGCACGGACGTTTTGAACACGGCACGTGCTGCGCTCCAACACGGGCGTATCAGGGCAGCTCAGCGCCTCGTTTGTACCCCAGTAGGGCCGTGATGGTGAAGCAGCGACGGCAGCCTCCCACCGGCCGCGGCGGCTCACCTCGCCGTGGCGATCATAGCGCCCAGCCTCACGCGGATTGGAAGCCAAGGGGCGCCCTGCCACTCATGGAGCGCCGCCTGAGCCAAAGTGGCTCCGCGGGCGGACCCCTTCGGCCCTGGCATCCCCAGATCTCTTCGACGAGACGCTTTTTTCCAATCCTTGCCTTTGTCCTAGATCCCCCGAACAGTGCTGGCACTTCGGCGTTCCTACGTCCTTTTCAAAATGCTGGGCCTGGGATTGGGCCTGGGTGCTGGCCCGGCCAGCTGGTGGCCGCCCCGTCGCCGCCACGTCGCCGCATGTCTCCCCCCCTTGCCGCCCCGTCGCCGCCCATCGCCGCCGCCCGTCGGGGTCTGGGTACCAGTCTGGCCGGCTTGTGGCAGCCCGTCGCCGCCAGTCGCCGCCACCGCCCATCGCCGCCGCATTGTCGTCGCAACGATGATTGAGCGAGCCTCATAGGTTGCATCAACATCGATTACACCACATAGGTTATATCACATAGGTTGCGCTACACATATTGCGCCAAATATATTGATTTGGTTTGAATGCACCACATAGGTTAGGCCACACATACGTACATATAACTATATATAGATGCATATATATATATATACACGTGCAGATGTACATACGTGCATATGTATATACGTGCATACGTACATATCTACATACATACATACATACATACATACATACATACATACCTACCTACCTACCTACCTACCTACCTACCTACCTACCTACCTACATACATACATACATACATACATACATACACATACACATACACATACACATACACATACACATACACATACACATACACACACATATATACATACATACATACATACATGCATGCATACATATATACATATATACATACATGCATGCATACATACATGCATACATGCATATATATACATACATGCATGCATGCATGCATGCATGCATGCATACATACATACATACATACATACATGCATGCATGCATGCATGCTTGCATACATACACGCATATATACATGCCTACATACATACACTCATACATGCATACATACATACATACATACATACATACATGCATACATGCATACATACATACATACATACAGACATACATACATACACACATACATACATACATACATACATACATACATACACACATACATACATACATGCACATGCATACATACATACATACTAGAACCACGCGCGCGCGCTTCGCGCGCGCTTAGGTTCTAGAATAATAAAAAGAAAAAATCGATTGTTTAAATAGGATAAAAATGGGTGGAATCTGATGGAGAAATTAACAAAAGGGGACTCAACAAAAAAAATTAAAATATAAAGAAAAAAATAAGAAAGAAACGGTGTCTAAAGGAAGCAGAAGAAATAAAAACAGGTAAGGTAGGATTGAGGAAAGCCGTGGCCACGTAACAGCTCCGAACACGCATTGACCAGGCCCCCCCCCCCAACCAAGGGGTTTTTAAAATTCCCCCAAGTATTGTGGCGTTAGCCCTATAAACCAACCTCCTCCCGCGTCCTCCTCTCTCCCCCTCCGCCTCCTCCTGCCAGTCTCCGCCACCCTCTCCCCCTCCGCCTCCTTCCCCCCACCCTCCCCTCCTCCTCCTCCTCCACCTCCTCCTCCTCCTCCTCCTCTCCTTTCCTCCTCCCCCTTCCTCCTCCTCCTCCTCCTCCCCCTCCTCCTCCTTCTCCTCCCCCTCCTTCTCCTTCCCCTCCTCCCCCCGTCCTTCTCCTTCCCCTCCTCCCCCTCCCCCCCTCCTCCTCCCCCTCTTTCCTCCCCCCCCCCTCTCCCCTTCCGCATCCTCCGACTCGTCGTCGTCCTCCTCCTTCTCCTCCTCCGCCTCCTCCTCCTCGTCCTCCTCGTCCTCCTGTTCCTCCTCCTCCTCCCTCCTCTCCACTCCCGTCCTCCTCCATATTATCCCCCCCCTCCTCCCCCTCTCCTCCTTTTCCCCCTCCTCTACCTCCTCCTCCTCCTCCTCCTCCCCTCCTCCTCCTCCTCCTCCCTCCTCTCCTCCTCTCCTCCTCCTCTTCCTTGTCCTCCTCCTCCTCCTCCCTCTCCTCATCTTCTCAACCTCTTCTTCCTACTCATCCTCATCATCATCCTCCCGCCTCCCTCATCTCCCCTCCGTCCTCGCCGCCTCCCTCCTCCTCCTCCTCCTCCTCCTCCTCCTTTTCTCTTCCTCCTCTTCTCTTCCTCCTCCTCTTCCTCATCTCCTCCTCGCCCTCGTCCTCCTCCTTCCTCCTCACTCCTCCTCCTCCTCCTCCTCCTTGTGTAGAAGGTTGTGACTTTGCATAAGTGGGCTCTAAAAGACTACGGGAGTAAGATGCTGTTGGGCGTGAAGTAAATTCCACCTCTTCTCATCCCCCCTCCTCACCTCGCAAAACACTCGACGCCGGGATGTGTTCACAACGTGGGCCCAGCATATCCGGACGACTTCCCGGGGCCGCCTCTTCATCCCGCCTTGTGTCTTACGGTCCAGGGGCCCCGCAAGGGCCCCCTGGAGGCTGGAACTTGTGCAAAAGCTTCCCGTCGTGTTTTTTCGTCCCGACGCGAGGTGGGAGCAAAGAAAAGCGACACCACCACCACCACCAGGGCGAGGAGCCAGGGGATGCCCCCTGGTGGTGGGGCCACACCTCCCCGCTCGAGACATCCCCAACCTCCAGCTTGAAGGGGCATCGCGGACCTTCTCGATGAAGGTGGCTCCCCTGGTGGTGGTGGTGGTGGTGGTGGTGGTGGTGGTGGTGGTGGTGGTGGAGGTGGTAGGGGTGGTGGTGGTGGTGGTGGTGGTGGTGGTGGTGGTGGTGGTGGTGGTGGTGTCGCTTCTCCTTCCCCGAGCGAGAGGGACTGGGTCCTGCACTCTGCCCCGGGCCTCAACGGCCTCCGGACGGGAGGCGCCCGCCCTCGAGGGCGGCGCG